TAAATACTTAAAAGGTATTGAGAGACTAGACAATTCCACCCCTCTCCCAAATATTAAGGTTAGTTGAAGTAGATGTAGTTTAAGCAAAACACATTCCAACAGAGGTCTAAATATTTATTTATCTACTGAATAGCTTACTTATTAAAAACTTTACTATGAGCTGTGCATAGTCCACATGCCAGTTATCCCTGGTGAAACAGGGGGATAACAAGTTGAAAGCCAGTCTGAGTTATACAAAAAGACTTTCTAAAACCCAAAACAAATAAATAATCAAATAAACACCTTACCATGAAGAAAAAACTCCAGATCTGAAAGATTTCTACCAAATACTTGAGGAAGAAATAATGCAACAAATTCCTCCAGATAATAATACAGGGACTAATTCCCAACTTGCTTTATGAAGCAATGTAATTTTTATATGAAAATAAAAAAGACCACTATAAGCAAGGATATTACAGTTCAGTATTATTCATCAAAAAATCAAAATTCCTGAACATGTAGTAGAACCAAATCCAGCATGATATAAAAAGCTTAATATCATACTCATTTTGAGTATAATTCAGAAATTCAAAGTTGGTTTTATTGGTCACTGTAATTCATATGAACAAGATAAAAAAGGAAATACAATCATGTCTCTAGTCACATAGAAACTGTTTTAATAAAATTGACATTGATTCATGATGTTTATAATGGTCTTAGCAAATACAATAAAAACCTTCCTTAATTAGATAAAGGGAGTCCTACAGAGGAGCCTTCTGAGCTCTTGGCCTATTGTTCTCTTGATCTGACTCACACCTGTTGAATCTTTCTCTTGTCCAACTCTGAAGGGAGTCCACCCCACACCTTTACCTAAATCTGCATGGGAAGCTAAGAGATGATTCGGTGGGAGAAAAGACGAGATGATCTGTGTAGCCAGTACCTGGAGTTCTGTCAAGCAGGTAATAGTGGAATGCAAAGACTCGTGTTGCACAATGAGAAACAGCCCTGGGACATTTCTGAGCCCTTTGAGGACAATTTCTCTTCTGTTAACACAGTTATTTCTTTAGATGAACTATAATATAGATTTTTGGGTTATGGCTAAAAACATGCTAAGACAGTCATTTTCTGCTGCTGTTTGTGGTTGATTGAATAAGAATGGCCCCTGTAGGCTCACAGATTTGAAAGCTAGGTCACTAGGGAATGGCACAACTTGAAAAGATTTGGAAATGTGGCCTTATTGGAGGTGTGTCACTGGGGGTGGGCTCTGAGGTTTTGACAGCCCAAGTCAGGCCCAGTGTCTGTCTTCCTGCTTCCTGTGATCTGGACGCACAACCCTCAGCTACTTCTCCAGCACCATGTCTGCTTGCACACTGCCTCATTCCCACCAGGACGACGACAGACTAACCTTCTGAAACTGTAAGCCAGCCCCAATTAAATGTTTTCTTTTGGAAGACTTGTCATGGCCATGGTATCTTTTCACAGCAGTAGAACACTGAATGAGACACTGCCGGTAATCAGCTTAGTCTCTCAGTGCGCCAGGCAACTTGTTCCTCTGTGCGGCTTCCACGTCCCATGCCCTTTCCTGGAATAAGCTCTACCATATTCATAGCTCCTCATTTTCTCATCCATTCCCAAACTCCCATGTCTTCCATAAACCCACACAAGCATCTTTCTTTTGTGAAGCCTCTCCCTGGTCCTCATTGGCCCTTTCCCCTCCCCCCTGATAGCATGTCACACTCTATTAGAGTTTCTTGAGGAAAGTCCTGTGTTGGGCATGTAAGCCCATGGTATGCCCAGTGCTCTGGGTTTGATCTCTACAGTTGGGGTAGAGTGTGGGGTGAGAACCTATGTATTTGTATTTATATTTTTTACTATCTAAACTTAATTAAAGTTTATTATATGCCAAAATAATTAGTAAATGTATACATGAGTGATTGATTAGCTGAATCTATCTCAGCAGGGCTCTGTGTTTTTTATTACTACCTTTTGGGTGCTCTGTTCAGTACTCCTGAACTCATTCTAGCTAGTAATGAAACTGTCTCTGCTTGAGCACACTGAATTTACAATCAATAATGAACTCTAAATTGAATTTCTAATTGCTTTTATAATGCTGCTACACTCACAGCCATTCCCAATACTGACTCCTAACTTTGCAGCATAACTTTCTTTCTTTTTTTAAATTCCATCCTATTTCTGCTGAGTGACATGACATGAAAGAAAGAGTAGCATGAGTTGAACATTTGGAGGAATAGCCTTAATTAGATACTTTAAAGAGCCTGAAAACATAAGATTCGGTCTAGGACCAAAATTAATTCCTAATTAAGTTTAATGGCTTAATACCAAAAACAAGTAAAGGACAGAAAAGTTGACAGGAAAATGGAAGAATAGATTCTTCCCACTTCTTCCCAGTCTTTTTTACCCTGGACACCTGCAGAACTTCCTGCTTTTTGTTGGAGACTGGAGCAGGGGAAGAGGCTAATGCCTTACTTCGCTAGGCACTGAGGAGGGAAAGGCTGAGCATGCCCATGCCCCCTGCAATAGACTTCCGGGCAATGTTAAAAGTTTAGCAAAGGGAGTTGAGTACACATGCAGGCACTTACAGCCTTGGTCCTCAGTGAAATCCAGTGTATCAGGAAGGGGGTAAGGCAAGCAAGACTCTGTAAACTTGCTGTGTTAAGTTTTAGAGGTAGATCTGTTCAGGCAAGGGCTTCACAACTCTGTGTGTATTGAAGCAGCCCAGAGCTTTAAAACTATAAACACACACACACACACACACACACACACACGGCAACATCCAGAGTCTGTCCTCACAGTAAAATCAGTGTCTGTGCAGAGAGAAGTAGGTGGTGGCAGAGAGAGAGAGAGAGACATGGTGGTAATAGTACTCCTGAAGACTCCTACAGATGTTTCTAAAGTACTTCAGAGTTTAGACCCAGGCATCAAAGCAGAGACAAATGGTTTCTTAAATGTCAATAGGGCCTGAAACTTAGTATGTCTTTTTTTTTTTAAAGTGTTTTACTTTAATATTTACACTCAACAATGGTTCTATAGTTATATTTCTTTTGTTGTAGAAGAAGACAACAGGCCAATCAGCATTTTGGAATTATTTCAAATTATAGATACATTCCTGGGAGAAAAAAACTCCTGGAGTCTAAATCTCCAGCTCATAGTGCTTATGAATATACAACACAGCTGCTGAAATCAGCCAGGAATAGTCAAAGCAGAAGTCTTAAATGCAAGTCTTGATGATAGATAAAATGTAGATATGCACAGGAGGTGGAAGAATGGTGGAGGAGAAGCAGCTCAAAGGGAGGAACAGCAAACGAAAAGGAGAAGAAGAGGGAAATCCTAAAGAACAGCCACAGAGCCTGATGATGGGCCTGATGGCAGGGCACGGGTGGCCTGAGCTGGTCGTCTCGGAGGGCATATGGAAGCAGGCCAAGCATACAGCCCTTCCAAATGTATGTACCACAGAAAACAACTTTGTCCAGGTTTCTTTAGTTTCAAGTTCAAGGACTTCATGGAACACCTGACTGCAAATAACATTTATTGAGCACCAACTATACACCAGCCATGTTTTCTTAGCATTCTGTTTATGTATTAACTAATCCTTATATTGCCTCCATAATGTATCCTTATTCGACGAATGATGAAAGCGAGGTGGCAACTGAGTTTCCATGAAATATTTACTATATAGAGAATTAGATACACTAACGGCGCGACCATGCACTAATCAAACATTGGTTAGTGACGTAATTATCCTGTGAGCATCATAGCATGTGCTTGCAGCAGATGGTATAGGCCAACACTTCCTGTGGCCTCTAGATGCAACTAAGAGCTGAGGTCCAGAAGACACAGCTGCTGGCATGCCATGTCATGCATATGGTCTTCCATAAAGTTTTCTTTATGGTTCTGAGAATCAAACCCACAGTCTTTCATGTGCTAGACAAATGCTGTTTTTTGTTGTTATTGTTGTCATTGTTTGATTTTTGTTTTTTAAGTTAGAAATACATTCCAAATTAAAGATTATGTAGCATAAACTATAACAAAGCTTAATAATGATCAAGCATTTTATACCCTTTGTGTTATGCTTTTATGCAACTGGAAATGGAGTAGGTTTTTTTTTCCTAGCATCATCACAAATATGTAAGTAATTCATCGAGCTATGATGTTGTGATGGCTACAGTGACATTGGGCGAAAGGAAGTCCCCAGTTCCGTTCTCATCTCCTAGGACTATGGCTATTTATATGGTGTACGGTCAAGCAAATATCATTCTGCGGTACATGACTGTTGCTATAATAATCCTGTAAGAGGAGTAGGAGGCAAGTACTTGAAAATAAAACCAGATAGGGAAAATAAAACCAGGAAAGGGAAAGATGCATGCCTTGAGCTAGAGCTGGATTTGAGCAATAGTGGCTCTGACAGAGTTTCCCAAGGATTTTGATCTTCCTATTTTGTGATTATGAAGAATGTATTGAGATTTGTTTCGATGAGGAATGTGATAATAAAATGCTTGATAAAGCCAGTCTGGAAAGAATATAGGAGCTGTGATTTGGCAAATAAAAGAGGCAAACGTCAAACCCCTGGCCAGTTAGAGAACAGATGGTGTGGGTGGTCCAAAGCCAGGTTTGGTGGGAACTGTGGGAGCAAAGAGCACAGATGTCAGCGTCACAGTGAGGGTCCTGCTGCATGAAGGGAGCATGAAGGGAGCACCAGGAGAGAAACCCAGAAGAGGAAAGGTGCGAAAATGAACCTCAGCTTTCCTTTTAGCTTAAGGGCTGTTGAGTCATTGTGGCCTGAAATATGTTGCTATATTGCATATCCTGAGTTTAATTGATTTAGCCCTATGTTATATTAACCCCTATATTTGAGGTAGATGGCAATATTGATTTCTATATTTAATATTTATTCTAATAATTACTATAAACATTATTTTATTAATATAATTACCGACATTATTAACTATAGGTTCTCAGATGAGGATGAAGAGGGCAAGACCAAGCAGGAGTATATCATCTCTGACCCATCCTTTTCCATGGTGACAGTCCAACGGGAGGACAGCGGAATAACCTGGGAGACCAATTCAAGTGGATCTTCCACTCCTTGGGCTTCAGAAGAAAGTCAGACTTCTGGTATATGTAGTTTGGAAGGGTCAGCTCTGAATTCTCCTCCAGGAAATGTTTCCTTTATTGTGGATGAAGTTAAAACAAAACGAAAAAGAACCCAGAAGTCTAAGCATGGCTCATTGCGTCGGAAAGGCAGCAAGAAAAGAAATTCTCTAAAATCGCAGGATGTTCTGGCAAACAAAGAAGATGGTCCTTTAATTTCAGGAAGTCCAGTGCTAAATTCTGAGAAGGAGAAGTCATCTATTGGCACTTACGATAAAACAAAACGGAAGAAGACTACATCAAATATACCTCCCATCACAGGGGCAATCTACAAAGAGCACAAGCCATTAGTGTTGAGGCCAGTCTACATAGGAACGGTACAATACAAAATTAAGATGTTCAATTCAGTTAAAGAAGAATTAATTCCTCTACAATTTTATGGGACATTGCCGAAAGGTTATGTAATTAAGGAAATACATTATAGGAAAGGGAAAGATGCATCCCTTAGTCTAGAGCCGGATTTGAGCAATAGTGGCACTAACAGAATTTCCCAAAGAACTAAATTAGTAGCCAAGAGCCCAGAGGCTGATGTGGCAGGAGACCTTGCTCCACCCTGGAGAGATGCTCTCTCCAAAGGATCAAAGTCCATGACCTCATTATTTAGTCATGAAGAGCAAAAGAAAACGTATGTTGATTCCTCCTTAAATGCCACACCTGCAACTGAACACACATTTTCTTTTTATTCCAAAAATGACACAGCAGTTCAAGAAGAACATCTCAGACCTCCACAGACACTGTCACAACAGCCAGCGGATGGATCAAAGACCTGTAGAACAGAGCCACCGAGCACTCTGGCAACCATGGTCTTCGAAAGAGCAAAGGAAGAAGTGGAACCAGATTCACAAGCGATGGAAAATTTAGAGGATGATGTAAATCAGGAAGGCATGGTTTCTGTCAATCATTCCATGCCATGTGAGGAAGAATCTTTGGAAACAGGACCACTAAGACTGGCACCATCCATCCAAGAATGGTTTGAGCCACACATGGAAGGATTAGAGCCGACTTCAATAGAAAGGATAGGCCCAGCATCTGCACACCAGACCTCGCCTGAGCCCACACCCCACAGAGAGGAGGAACACGTGCTGGAGCCACTCGTGGCCCTTGCATCTCGAGAACTAGAGAAGGAAGTGGAAACTTCCCTGCCAGTCTCGGACACCGCTGAGCCTGAAGATTCTAGTCTAGAAGATGAGATCATAGAACTTGATTATCCAGAAAGTTCATTAGTTTCTGAGAGACCTTCCCCATCACCTTTGTCCCCTGAAGTGAAACACAGAGAACAGTCCATTCTACCATCACAGATGACATTTACACCTGAATATACCACTTTGTCTGATGAAGAAAGAGAGGAAAGTGAGTCTGTTTCTACTGATTCTGCTTTTGTATCTGAGTATGCAGTCCTACAGGATTTGAAACATGAACCAGAGAAGCAAGAAGCCGAAGAAGTTTCTCGACTGGATGTGAAGTCCAGCTCTGAACCTGCAGTCTTTTCAGAAGAAGACAAGGAACATGAGTCTTATTCTCCAGCTGTGGCCTCTGTATCTGAACACAGTCTCTCTCCACTCATCACAGAGAAGACAGCAACATCCCAATCCCCAGTCTTTTCAACAGTTTCACCACACCATCTGGTGCTGTCTGGAGATGAGGCCTCAGAGAACATGTGCCACACACCAGATTCCATATCTGCTTCTGAATATTCTGTTCCATTGCTTGCTGCCCAAGAGTTGCTGGTAAGAACAGGTGACCATAAGCCCCCATTAAAGTCCCAACATGTTTCAAAGTCCATGATTCAGACAGAAGAAGAGAAGGAAGCCATTGGGCCACATCCCACAGCTGTGGGCACTACTTCTGGATACCCTCATTCACCATTGCCATCTGAGAAGGCTTCTGAATCCCATTTACTACCACCCCTGTCTGCCATGCTGAGACATGCAGGTGAAGATCTAGAGGATGAGGATATAGAAAGTGAAAGTTTCATATCATCTTCAAAACTGACAATTAAACCCTTAATTCCACAAAATACAACACAGGTATCCCCCCAAAAAACAATAGACGACATGTCCCATTTTGAACCAAAGGGCATTTTTGAGCCCAGGACTCTGCTAGAGGCAGAAAAGGAAGTGGTTGGGCCATCTTCATTGGATGTGGTCTCTGCTTTGGCATGTTCTCTCCCACTGTGTGCCACTGAGACCCTTTCTGAATGCCAGGCCCCACTTCCTTCAGCGTCCTCATCTGAGCATGTGGTACTATCAGAAGAAGGGAGAATAGAAAGCCAGCAGGGTGCAATCTCTTCCACACCTGCTTCTGAACTCTCAGGGCCAACACTGTCTGCAATACCAGAGTCCCAGGAGGAAGCGCTTGTCCACACATCCTCCCTGCTCCTAAAGGGTGCCTCCTCACCTACAAAGCTACCAGAGCAAGAGCAGGAAGAGGAAGACATTGGGCCCATTTCCCCTGATTCTGCATTTGTGTCAGAATTCTCATTCTCACCCTATCCAATGCAGGAAGTAGAGAAAAGAGAGCTGGGGGTTGATTCGCCACTGTGTTTAACATCAGCATCTGAGCACAATATTTTGTCTGATGAGGACACTGAAGAGGCTGGGCTCTTTTCTCCAGATTCAGCATCACAGGTTTCAATCCCACCATACAGAATCCCAGAAATAGAGCAAGGTGAAGTCAAGCCACATGTGTTACTAACTACGAGGTCTGCTCCAGAACATGCCTACTTCTCAGAGGCAGATGAAGAAGAGATTGGATCCTCAGCCAGCACACCTGTGCCTGAGCATTTTGAGCCATCACAGGAGCAAAAAGCTGAGCCTTTTGCTCTCATGCCTGTATCTGAAAACCTGAGCCTGCCACCTTCAGCAGATAAAATAGGCCAAGCAGAAATTATGCCAGCTGCTTCAACAATCTCAACCTCTGTATCTGAATATCTTATCCTGGCACAGCAATGCAAAACTCAAGCATCTTGGGAGCCTGAGGCTGAAGGTTTGGTACCACCACTGTTAACCAGTGGGTGGGAGAAGGGAGATGGTAAGAGCAGCTCACCAGCAGCTACAATGGCGGCTTCTTCACCTGCGCTCTCATCAGTGGAAAAGGAAGAAACCAGACCTGTTTTGCTCACATCTCAGTTCTCAGTTTCACCTGAGCCGGCCTGTGTACTTAAGACAAAGCAGGAACCCAAAGTGTCACTCATTGTAACACGTGCAGAAGAACAGATGGCTCTGCCCAAAGTCAGAAGGGAAGAAACTGTGCCGGATTCACAAGCATCACAGGATCAGGCACAAGAACCGCAGCCCCCAAATGTTCCAGGGTCTGGGATGAAGTACTCAGTTTTGTCTGACTTGGTAGATGAGCCAAAGGCGGATGTCGAACCCAATTTAGCTCCAACTGTGACTTCTGAACTAGAACAGAGAGCATTGTCAAAGAATGAGCCCAAAGTGGCAAAACCATATTCACCTCCAGAGGAAACATCTATTTCTGGACATAAGGTTTTATCTGCAGTGAAGATGGAAGTGAAACACAATTCCAAAATAGCCAGGGAACTTCCTGCAGCTTCATCTGGAATAGAAAAGGAAGTTGAACACCATCCACCCACACCACCGGCATTTCCAGCTTTGTTGGAAGAAATGAAGAAAGAAACTGAAGCCAGCTTTTCTTCCACCACAGTGCCAGTAACTAAGCTTGATTCAAGTTTAACTGAATCAGGCAGAGATGAAATCCTAACAAATTCATCTCTTGCCAGCCCTGTGGGACAGCCAGGGTTAAGGCAAGTAGGGAAGAGTGAATTAGAAAGTGGTTTGGCACTGCTTATCACATCTATAGCCGAGCACTCTGCTCTTACAGGGGAGGAGATGGGACCAATTAAAGGTGCTGCTGGTGTCACTGACAGCTTTTCATTAGGAGGTTCAGCTTGGCCAGAGGCAGAGAAGGAAATGAAGTTAGATTCATCTCTGAATCTATCATCTCTATCAGAGTGTTCCATTTGGTCAAAAGCAGAAACTGAAGGAATTAAACCCCAGTTGCCAATATCCAAAGTACCAGCCAATGTGTCTGAGGAAGCCAGGGTAGAAGACACCCAAGGCCTTTCATTCTCTACAGTTCTTGGTTCTGAACACTCCATTTCATCACAGAAAAAGAACTCGGTGTCTGTGTCAGAGGTGTTAAGGCTGGAACCCAAACTTCCCATCAACTCAGGTAGTGAGGTAGAGAAAGAAGAAAGCAAGCTTCCTCCCTCACAAGCGTCACCTGCTCACGAACACACAGTTCCAAATGACAAACCCGAGGAGAAAACAAGGTCTCCTGAGCCTGAAAATTTAGCATCAGATGATTTGGCCCTCAGGGATGAGATGAACAAACAAGCAGAAGAGACATCTCCTCCAGTGCTGGGAGGCTTCCTGTCAGGAAAGAGAGCGCTCATAAAGCTCCCCCCAGAGCCTGAGAAACACAAACAGTTGTCAGAAGTACCAGCTGCTGGGTCAGAACTCACTGATAGTACAGATAGAGATGGATCCTTAGGTATAGAACCAGTAAAACCCATTATAACGGAACCAGGGCCTTCCATTTTAGGAAAGGGCCCCACTGAGCTTAGGAGCACAGGCAGAGAGCAAGAAGAAAACAGGGAGCTTCCTGTGCTTGCTACATCTCCAGTAGAGACTATAGAGGAAAAAAAGCCTGGAAAGACCCTTTGTAAGGTTCGAGCTGTTAAAGTGCCTGATGTGAGCAGCTTCTTTGAGGATAAGCCAGATCTGGGTGTTAAACAATTCTCAGATAGGAAAGAGAATTTGGAGCAGTCAAAACCATTTATGACAACTGAGCCTGCCAATGTTAGAGGAACAACATCGAAGGAGACTCTCATTTCTCTGGAGGATAACACCTGTATGCTGGAAAAGCCAGATGGCTTGGCCAATCAGTGTGAAGACAGAAAACCAGGCTCTGGGCAGCTGGAGTTCTCTGATAGCAATAATCTGATGACAGGGAAACCTGAGGCTGCTCCATTGGATACTGATCACACATCTGGAATCAGAAAACAGGTTCTACCACAAGCTGTGAAAGAACTCCATTTGCCATTTCGAGAGCAAGTATCTGTCTCTCATGTATCTACTGGCAAGGTAGAAGCATTATCCACTGAGACTTACCTTTCTGAAGAAATAAAGGCTGTGGTGGTTCCTGTTGGAAAGGTGGAGGGAGGCCATGCAGAGGAGAGATGGATCAGTTCTTTCACAGAGAGTGAGAATTCAGTATCAGAGAAAACAAACACAGAATTTCCCAGGCCTTGCAAAGATGTCCAGGAGGAAATCACACTACCTCTTGAAAGAACTCTCCAGAAATCAGAGTCTAGCCTACCAGTGGAACATGTAAAGGCAGAAATGACCCCCATTTCTGCCAAAGCACCATATTTCCTGACTGGAGTTGTAGAACCTACACTGGGTGGAGACCAAGAAGAAAGCCTGGCAGGAGTGTCTGGTGAGAAGCCACTTCAAGAACTCAAACAGGTTCAGTCAAAAACAGTAGATGATGTTGATGAAGGGAGAACCCCAGCCCCTGAAGTGGCAGCATCCACCCAAAGTGAATCTGTCCCTGCAATCAGAGCAGATGTCAGGCTTCAACCCCCAGAGGCACCAGAGGGGAATCAGGAGCCACCTGAGAGGCCATTGGTGGCTGAGCAAAGCCCTCCTGCAGAGAAGGGGAAGAAAGGAATTTCATCTTTCAAATCATGGATGTCTAGTTTATTGTTTGGAACAAGTACTCCATACAATAAAGTCACTGACGAAGATTTAGAAACCCAGCCAAGTCCCTCTGTAGAGAAAGCAGCAACTACTGTAGACACTAAAGTTGCAGTTCCTGCCGAGGTCAATGCGGCTGAGAAGCCAGCTGTTCATTCGTTACTCAAGGTCACAGTTAAACTGGCTGAGGAACCCAAGGATGTTTCACTTAAATCCAGGGAAAATCAAGACCTTAAAGAAAAACTCACATCTTTATCAAATGAAGAAGTTTCAAACCAGCCTAAATCAAACTCTGAAAATTATGTTAAGAAAGAACTTGCAGACAATTCAGAGGGAATGGATGTAAGCTTAGGTACTTCAGGTGGTGACGAACATGTTGGAATTCAGACTTGTTCCCCTATGGGTGAGAAACTGGTTAGGAAAGAATCCCAAAGCATTGTTCCCCTTCATGTTACTGAGAGCCAAACACATCAGAAGCCACAAATATCTCCTCCATCTATGTGGACTATTTCTGCTCTTAAGGAAGAGCCAAGTAGTGATCACAAAGGACCGTGGCTCTTGCCATCTGACATAGTAGATAAAATGCCACAACAACCAAAGTCAGCTCTGTCTGACTTCACAAGGACAAAGGAATCAGAGAAGCCAGCACCAGTGATTTTGCCCGTGGACTCAAAAGGCAGCCTAATTGATCTTGGTGAAGACAGACTAAGACAAGAAATGCCAAAACCTGCTTCTTGGAAACTTTGTGAAGAGGAGGTGAAATGCCCAGTGGAGGAGGATAGCTGCTGGGAAACTAGATCATTTTCCTTGGCAGAGAAGACGATGCTGGCAGGGAAGCGAAAAATCATGGCTCCCTTGGAACTTAGGGAAAATAAAGCAGTAGGAAAGTTGCAAATGATGCCGGAATCTCGACCTTTTAAATTGGAAGAATCAAAAGCTGCTGAGAGACAGGAACCTCACATCTCTCCAAGTGAAGAGCTCATGGAAAAACCCAGTGAGGCTCTTGCTTCAGAGGAGAGGAGAGAAAAGGAAGAGCAGGCATGGGTGTATTCAGAAGGAAAGAAGCAGGGACACCTCCCCTACTCTCCAACTGCAGCCATGTCTATGCCTGGAACATCAGCTGTCTCTTTGGATAAGGCCCAGTCTCCTTCATTTGTTAAACAACCACCAGTTACTGAAAAATCGGAACACATATTCATAGAGGTATACCCAGAAATTAGGGAAAGAAAGGCAGCAGAAACCCAACCATATCTCCAGAAAGAAAATAAAATATTAGTAGAGGAAATCAAGGCTTCCCTTGTGGAGCCGCCCCATGGAGAAGAAATGGATGGCCATTCTACCCAGGAAGGAAATCTGGAGTTGGAGAAGTCAAATAAGAGTAGAGTAGGTCTCAAAGAGGAAAGGAGGCAGTTCATAATGCCTGAGTTGTCCCTTGGTGCTTCAGTGGCTGATGCAGATGGAAGTATGCAGGCAAGACCTCTATCTAAGGATGCCGAAAGGACACCAGAGCACGTGACTGGTGAAACAGAGCATATAGGAACACCGTTGACTCAGCTGTCACCTGTAGAACCACAGACTTCTCTAGAAAACACAATGAAAAAACAAGAAACATGGTCAGAGAGGCCTACAGTCCACACTATCCAGACATCTAAAGATCACCCAGCTGAGATGGTGAAACAGTCAGTTCTCATTTCAAAGTGTCACTTGGAAGCTGTGGAGGACATACACAGAAATGAGCCATTCTCTTCAGCAGCAAGCAACTATACTCAGTTTATGCTTAGCTCATCAGCAGTCCATGCTGATGGAATGACTCCTATGAGAGGCACACCCCAGGAGCCTGACAACTCTGTGAAAGGTGAAGAATTTGCAGTAACCAGCAAGCCAGCCGGACTTTCTGAAGACCAGAAGAGTGCCTTTAGCATCATTTCCGAAGGCTGTGAGATATTGAATATCCATGCTCCAGCCTTCATCCCTTCAGTAGATCAGGAAGAAAGTGAGCAAATGCAAGATAAGTTACAGTATTTGGAAGAAAAAGCCTCCTTTAAACGCATACCCCTGCATGATGAGAGGGAGGAAGCTGCTTCCTGTAAAACACAGAAAAGCAAGTTAGAAGATTCTGATAGGAAAATTACATCACTGACAGAAAATGAACCAAAAGAGACTCATGAGACAAAGGAGGAGATAGCCACAGGCACAGAAGTGAGTGATTTCACTCCTATTCAATCCACAGTTTCCAGCGAAGAGGATTATTTTGAAAAATATACTTTGATTGATTATAACCTGTGCCCAGAATCAGAAAAACAGAAATTAACTGTTGAGGGATTCTCAAAGGAAGCCACAGAAGCAGTGGTTTCTCTCCCAGCAAGTTCAGATGAGTGTGTCCTAGAACATGAATATGACTCAGGACAGTCAGATGAAAGCTTTTATGGGCTAGAAAAGAATGGCAGCACATTTTCTCATGCAGAGATGCAAAAGTCTTTGGTTATCAAAAAACCAGATGATAGAAATGCTTCAAAGGGCATCAGTAGGGATGTGGACTGCAGGTCACCCGGGATGCCTTTATTTGATGTAGAGGAAGGAGTTCTGTCAAGAAGCCAGATGTTTCCCACCACCCCCACGCCTGTGAACCCTGAGCTGCTAGAGGAGCCGCCTGCACTCCCATTCTTATATAAGGATCTGTATGAAGAGACACTTGGGGGGGAAAATGAAGGGGAAACAGCTTCTGAAGTAGACAGTGTGGAGTCTGAGGCAGCATTTCCAAGGAGGAATTCTGACACTGATGATGGAACAGGTATGTATTTTGAGAAGTACATACTCAAAGATGACATTCTTCATGATGAACCTATAACTCAAGAGGATAAAGGCCAACGCCTGGAAGGGAAGTCAGTGGGTGAAGATGATTCACATCAACAGAGAGTTGTGGAAAGAGAAATTGGGAGAAAGCCAGAAACTAGTGTTTGGGAGAAGAATCTAGAAGAGGAACACAAGGCTGTTTACAGGGAAAGAGAATCCATAGGCCACATGGAGACCCTTGACAAGGAACAGAAAAAAACTCCCATTACAGAGCAAGTCACAGTGGTCACCCAGAAGATGAGCTATGCAGTTCCATTTGAAGACACCCGCCGTGTTCTGGAGAGTGTAGATGAGCCAAGCAGCCAGGGTAATGAAGCAGGAAGTGCAAGTCCAGAGGGCAATCTGAATGTCCCAGAACAAGTGTCTTTCCCAGAGGAAGAATTGGCAGCCACTTATGCCCCTGAAATATTGCAAGAAAAGCTGGTCCCATCTGTGCCACATGAAGAGAGACTCCACAATGTCCCTGTACAGGATGAGTATGAGTTTGTTGACTCTCTGAATCATGAAACGGTCAATCAAGGCATCTTACCAGAAGATTCAGAATCCACACCCGAAGGTGTGTTATCTCAAGGAACAGAAACCTTCAAGCCCATCAGAGAACAAGATTTCATAAGTGAGGGAGAACCAAGTATGTCCATTGCATGGGGAGAGTTCGACAGGACAGAAGAGCAGTCAGTATCAGAATCGGTTACAGCTAAGACACAACAGGTTGACTCTTACTGCTACACCTGCAAAAGCCCAGTCTCTGACGTGGACAGGGTGCTGGACGTTCACAAAGACCACGAGGTCTCAGCCCTTGATACAGCTGTAGCCGCTGTAAAGGTAAGCCAACTCAATGTACACAAGTAATGCACATGTTATGTTGAGTGTGCTTTCACGTTTTCTTCAAAGTGACCGATAGTTGACATTCATTTTCAGCAAAAGAGTCTGAGAAAAGTATCCCTGAGAATTTAGTCAAGACTATCTTATCTATTATTTTGACAGGTATATTATATGTCAGAGCATTTTTCTGGGCCCTCAGGATACCAAGAAATACTGTGGGGTCATTGCTACTGAGCAGCTTGCTATCTCATAACAGACCCTTAATGTTATAAAAAATGAAATGTTTTTAACCTCAATGATTATACATTTGCACACAAAGTAACTTACTTTTTGTCATCAATAATATTGTCCTTTAAAATAAGCATCTACTGCACAGACTGATTCTACTCTATATGTTAAAAATTCTACTCTATATGTTAAAAACAGTAAGATTTTAATTTTGATTCTCATTATATCCCACCTCCTCAGAGATGCTGTTGAGAAGCACAGAGTCTTTGAGCACCCATCTACCTCCCAGTCACCTTCTGTTTTTACACCTCTGGTCTACACAGATCAGCCAGAAGAAATTTAGAAGTAGCAAATAACAAAATAACAAAACTTGAGCACTCTCTCTGGGCCAGGCTTGTGTTGAGTTGTTTATATACAGCATACATTTTAATTCCTTAGTTCCCCATCACTGCCATCAGTTTGCTGGCGATGGAATGGGCTTGGGGAGTTTAAATGATTTGGAGAGGTCACAGAGACAAAATTGGGACTGATATCCAGGTTGGTCTGACATTGGCGTTTATGTTCTTGGTTGTATGTCCACACTGTTTGCTTTGCCATCAGTGATCCCCAAACCATCCTTCAGTGATGTTGCTGCTAAGGAATTGTCAGACTAATTTTGATTAAATTGGATTGCATTTTAGAATCTGGGTACTTTTTCCTATCAAATTATAATTCCCTCTTATTTTTCTAGGATGAAATTTTATTTACATTTTTCCTATTGAAATTTGGATGAAGGGGTGAGGCAACCTCTTTTGTGGACTCTCAGATGCATTAACCCCACCAAAATGTGTCCCATTCTATAATTGTATCTGCTTTGAAGAAAAGCAGCCAGTTGTCACTGTCTATAGAGACAAGGCTCGATTTTCCATATTTTTATTGTTATTATTCTTATGATTTTGTTTCTAGCTAAGTTTTTCCTGAATGTTGACAATTTTAAAAGTCCAAAAGTGATACTGTGATCTCTTCAGATCATATAATTCTTTCAAATTTTTAAAAACAATTCAAAAGTGGGATGATGTCATCTTTAAAACAACATTTAAAAGGGTTTGTTTGTTTGAATTTCTCTAAAGAGAAGGAGAAAAGTGAAAAACAGTTGACTAAAACCAGGAAGGCTTTCTTTTCTTTTTTTCTTAAGTTATCTTAAAGTTATCTTAGATTAAGAGTTGTTGGCAACTTCCAAAAAAAAAAAAAAAAAAAAAAGGAAAGAAAGAAAGAAAAGAAAAAATGGGGGTCTAGAGAGATGGCTCAACATTTATGAGCACTAGCTGCTCTTTGTAAGAGGAATGGGGTTCAGTTTCCAGCATCCACATGGCAGCTCACAGCCATCCGTGTAGGCAACATACATACACACACACACACACACACACACACATATGTAAATCTAAAAGAAAGAAAGAATGAAAGAAAAAAGAAAGAAAAAAGGATATCACAAAAAGCTGTAACCTGAGAATTTGGTAGTACTTTCTGGGTAGACTTCTGTGCCTCTTCCAGAGCTGTTGGCTGCCCATCTTCCTCATGGTGACTCCCCTTATTTATCTTCATCCTTGGCTCGCTTTTTTCTGCTTTCACAGTGTTCGTTGATCTTCTGCTCTATGTCAGGAAGGGTGCCAGTCATCAGGAGTGAGAAAGAAAGACAGAAAAATGAGAAGATGTACTTAGAAGCTCCTCAGATCAGTACTGGCTTTCAGGAGTGCGGATGAGAGACCAAGATTTTTTTGGGGGGTTAGTAGTTGGATAGAAGTGGAGGGGGGTCAGGAAAGGTATCTCTGAAAGCTAAAGTTTGGCTGAATCTTAATGAAGTAGAGATCTTCTAATAGTCAATAGCAAAGAGGTCACTGTAGAAGAGGAAAACAGGAAAAAAAAACGTATGAGAAGAAACTACAAGGAGGTGCAGCTTGTGTGACAGTCACGGTGGCAAGAGCTAGAGGGACACGTTGTCTCTACCGTCTATTTACAGGTGATTGCAGAGCTTGTTAAACTGATTACCAACACTATAGGGCTCTACTTTAAAGTACATAAAACTCAGGTCCTTAGGAACAATGACAATTCAAATCTAGAGTTTCTCAAACATGAACACTCATGCATGTGTGCTTACACTCATATGAAGACCAGAGGAGAACCACAAGTACTTCTCTTCAGGCACTATGCACCTTTTTTTTTTTTTTCAACTTTTGACAGTGTCCCTCAATTTCCCTGTGTTCAACAAGTAGGCTAGGCTGGCTGGCTAGTGAGATGGTGGATCTGTCTGTCTCTGCTTCCCCATTTCTGGGATTACAAACATGCACCACCACTCACAGTCAGCTTTATGTTGCTTCTGGGGATCAAGCTGCTGTCCTTGTGCTTGCAAAGAAGGGGGTTTACCAGCTGAGCTGCTTCTCCAGCCCCACAACACTCAACTGTTTCTCATACATAAGTGTGTCAATTTATTTAGGCAAACCAGCAAAAATACCCCAAAATTGATTTGTTAGTGAATATGGTATGGTAAGTCTCTACAAATATATTAAATAAACTGGAACTCACTGATTGAAATGTCTCCCCTAATGTTATACTCTAAAGATAGTTTAAATTATTTCCTTCAGATTCAATTAGGAGAATTTCTTGAAAACCTACAAGAAAAATCTTTGAGGATTGAAGCTTTTGTTAGTGAGATTGAATCCTTTTTTAATACTATTGAGGTAAGTTAACATACTTCTTTCTTCTCTATCCTACTTTATTCATTGTATCAATGTAAACCATTTAGAACTGAATTGGTGTGTGCATTGTATTGTGTGTGTGGTATGTAGTATGTAGCGTGTATGTGAATGTAGCGTATATGTATGTTTGTGTGGTATAGAGTGTAGGGGTATAATATGTATGTCTGTGGTGTGAGTGTGTGTAGTACATAGTTTTGTGTGTGGGGACATATAATATGTAGTATGTATGTGTGTGGTTTACATTGTTGTTTATCTTAATTCAAAGTGAGGTTTCTTATAGTCTCCCCTCACTATGAGTCATGAGACTGTTTTCTGTTTAAGGATAAAAGATTTTCCTCTAAAGACATGCCCTTTTGAGGGCTCTGGCACACTAAGGCAGATGCTCTCTGAAGGTTAACCCTCAGGAAGAGTTACTAAGAGGTGTTTATATTTCATAAGCAAGCAACTTCTGCTCTACTTTCCTGCCTCAGACTGGCTTGACCTCCAGAAATCTTGTATGTCAGTGACTTAAATTTTTTGTTTGGAGCCAGTGGATGCCTCAGGAACCTCTGAGCACACATACTTCTGGCTCTTAGCTCCTGCCCCTCCACTGTGAAGGGAGTGGACAAGACAAGTATTCAAATCTGCAAGACCAACACCCAGCCACTGGAAACGAGAAGGCTTCTTTGGCAAGAGCTGCTCAAAGATACACGTCCACCTGTAGACTTGGGAAAACTGAAACTCAGTCTGAGATTTTCTTTTTCAACTAGAAGCAAAAGGCCAAGGTTAAAATTAGGACAATCTGTCTCTTACAATTTTTCCAAAATATTATCTATTTAAGGCAAGATATGAAAAGACTGACCAAATTAATTTGTCTCTTGATTCTGGAAATCATTATGAGCCACTTGTTGACATTTCAACCTTTTAGATATTCAGAGGCTTCATCAAACCACAGCAGGCACTTATTTTCCTTAAAGCTTCACTTATTAATTTAGGAATATAAAATATATAATGGAATGCTCTGTCCTCATCCAGAGGTGGTTGTTAACAGGGAAAGGCAGAGGCTCCAGGCCACTGCAGAAAACTACTGTACAATTCCCTTGCTCCCCTTGTAGATCAGTGAACACCTGCTTTATTGTCCCCTTCCTCAGTCACTCTAGTGAAGATAGCCAATCACTAGCTGTGTTTAAATGGACAGTAAAGTTCCTTGCTCTGTGGTAAAGCTGCTCCTCATAGGAGAACATTGATGTGGAGAAGTGAAAACCACATAAGCCCTTTTCACAGCTTGATTGCTAGCATCCTCCCCAGATGTAACTTTCTTTTCTAAATTTTGATATTTTGTAACTTCTTGATGATACTCTTACAGTGAATTCCATTGCAAAACTAGTTATAGCAAGATAAATATATAAGCTGAAAGCTTAGAGCATGTACTCAGTGTACTTCATTCTTTTACTGGGATGTAGAGGCCAGGGGGGATAAAGATGAAGGGCAAATGAAGACATTACTTCTTGGTCCATTATAAAGTGCTTTTGTTCTACCCCTCTAGGAAAACTGTAGCAAAAATGAGAAAAGACTAGAAGAGCAGAATGAGGAAATGATGAAGAAGGTTTTGGCAAGGTATGATGAGAAAGCCCAGAGCTTTGAGGAAGTGAAGAAGAAGAAGATGGAGTTCCTACATGACCAGATGGTCCACTTTCTTCAGAGCATGGACACAGCCAAGGACACCCTGGAGACCATTGTGAGAGAAGCTGAGGAGCTTGACGAGACAGTTTTCCTGGCTGTAAGTACCACAGAAAAGCAGGCCCAATACCTGGTGCCAATTCTGGTAGAAGTCTACTTTAAAACTATTCCTAAAACTACCCAGTTTATAAACTGGGTACAGAGTTACAATCCTATAGTCACAGCACTTGGGAAGCCAAGGAAGCATGGTCACAGGTATAAGGCAAGACTGTTCTGTCTCAAAAACAAAGCAAGCAACAACTCCAAAGAAAACCTGTCTTTCAGTATGTAAAAATTCAAAATCCATGATGCCTGTACTATAGAAAAGGCCCCACAAATCTTAATAGTTCAATTCCCTAGATCCCTGAGAGATACATAGAAAGAGGCTGTTCTGTTATCATGTTTCTGAAGATTGATCAGCTTCTAAAATCAAAGTGCTCTCTCGCAACCTTATTTATGCTATGCCTTTCCTCTGAGGATCCACCTTGCCATCTGTTGTCTCATGCTGGTCCCTAAGTCTGTCCTGTTAACTCTCTCATCTGAGGTGACCTCTCATATGAACCATTCATTCCATCTGACCTTACCAAGTGGCTAGCAGTAACATTTGGTTCCCTTTGTGATGTAGCACCTTCCTCAAATAGGACAGGGATATTGCTAGAAGTAGGTTTTTGTTGACAAGATTCCATTATTCAAACAAGGGACTTGTGGAGAGTGAGACGCTCTTGTATGTACCTTAGTGCATAAATCCTTATAAACCCTATAATGTTCCAGAAGATACTGGCTCTCTGTAGACTCATGATGAACCATGAGCAATACAGATATTTGTCCAGAGGGCAGACACAAGCCTGTCAAATGAGAAATCTCCAGACGGAGATGCTGAGAGGGGACCCCTCTTTCAAAGTTCTCCATACTCCTAGACCTCCCAGTGAAGTTAGAAGGTAGAGTGAGGCAAAAATAGGCATTAGAGCCAGGTATGGTGGTAATCCCAGGCATGCCTGTAATCCCAGCAAATGGGGAGGCAGACGCAGGCCTGTGAGTTCCAGGCCAGCCTGGTCTACAAAGCAAGCCCACAGAGAAAAACTGTCTTGAAAAATAAACAAATAAACAAACAGCATTAGAAAGTTCATGATTGGCCTCTGGGGACATATCTGGCCAGACAAATGTAGGTCTCCATTCTCAAAGGAGAATTTAAAATATTTATGTGGCTTTATGTTTAATTAAAGCACAGCTTTAGTTTGTTTTTTTTTTTTTTAAATCAGGACCCTCTTAGGAAGTATAATATTAATAAGGCAGTTTGTGTCTCATAATAGCCTTTGGAATCTCTCTCTCTCTCTCTCGGAGAACAAATTAGAAGGGGGAAACATTTGTTTCTGCTTTTGGTGGCAATATCTATCAATTCTAGAAAAAAAATGGAGAACATAGGAAGCAGAGAGAAGCTATCCCTCAAAGATAACTGCTGATTTCACTATATGTAAAGCCCACACTGAATAAAGTTAAGTCATTTTTTTTTATTGCCTCACAGAATTCTAAAACATTGTTAATAAGGAGAAGAGGAATACGACAGCCCACTGCCAGCTTCGCCCATAAAGAGAGCGAGGCACACTGCAAACGTAGGCCAGCCCTTCTCCACACACAGTCCTCACCTTCCCTGAGTGCCATTTCCCTATTCAACCTAAAGTCCCAAAGACAAATGGCCTCAGGGATGCTTATGGGTAAAGACTGTTTAAAATGTTTGATCTTAATGTTCGCAGTTGCTTTACTTTCTGTTATTAATTAGACTCTCTGTCTCTCTCCCCACCCCAACCCAAGTCGTTTGAGGAAATCAATGAAAGGTATATGTAACATGGTGCACTTTTCAGGGCTGAGGAAAGCATGATGGGACGCTTTAGGGGATGAGCTGCCAATTAAACACACATAAGGGAGCTGCTGGGTTTTCACTCTTAGACATATTGCTTTTAAAAGTTAAAGGACAGCTTCAGAAGAAAATTGCATGTGCTTTGGTTAAATAACAGTGTAGAATTTTAACTGCTTTCCTGAGTTGTAGCCTGTATTTTCTATCTAATCTCAACCATCTTTCCCGTTTCTGAGTACAAAAAATTATAAATGACTAGATTTATTGGTTAAATATGAGTATTCGAAGCAATCATTCATTGTGGCTGTGAACAACTTTAGGACCTATGTCACCCTGATATCATGTTCATTGTTTTCCTTTCAGAAGGAAGCTCTGTCCTCATCTTTTCCTGCTCAGCTAATCCAATGAATCTTACCCTATTGATTGTGTTTTGTGTTGATGATGCTCTTAACACTTGGGCTAAGAGATTCTTCATTCTTCTAAGAGGCAAAACATCAACACGATTAGAAAGTGCTGTTTATAAAAATAGCAGACATCAGATTTCTATGTGTGTTCTATATCATCTACCGTTGACATTCAAGCACTCTTTCACCCCTTTTCCTTGTACCCCACAGCAAGAACTCAAGATCTTTTTTGCTAGTTAAGCCTAAGGTTTTATCATATTAGTGGGATCATAAATGTCCATTTCTAAGTTGTATTATCTTGGCTTTATTTCTACTGACATTCAATGGCAGAGAGTAAAGAGCCAAGACTTAAACTGGAAATGTTTATCTGGGATGAATATATGAAAAAAGGAGTTTGAATAGGAAACCTTATCTTTTCTAGATAACTGAAGCTGCAGGAATGAATCTTATTTGTTTACAATATAGTGCCAATACACTTTATAAAACCTATTTGTATATTAGTGTTGGCACTAATTGACCAGAGTTTTATAACTGGAGGTACTGTGAATAGTTACTTGAAGAGCATTAAAACCCACTGTTACTAAACCTGGGGTGGTGGTGCACACCTTAAATCCCAGCACTCAGAAGGCAGAGGCAGATCAGAGGTGGATCAGAGGTGGATCTCTGAGTTCAAAGCCAGCCTGGTCTACAGAGTGAGTTCTGGGACAGCCAGAACTTCACAGAGAAACCTTGTCTCAAAAAACAAACACAAAATATAACAAAAAAAAAAAAAACAAAAACAACTAAAACAAAACCCAGTGATGCGGATTATTTCTGATTCTTATGTCCTAACATTGGGGATTCACTGGTTTGAACTGTGGTCTGTGTATTTTCAAAGCTTCCTGGGGGATTGTGATGGGCAGGCAAGGATGAGGACCTCTTGCTGAGAGTAGACTGTCCTCAGGCTCAATGGCTTCCCAAACTGACTGTGCCTGAATCAATTGGTTAATGTGTATGCCCCAGACGCTGGAACCCCACAGCCACTAATTGGGGATTTGTAGGTAGGACAAGGCTCCTTACCAGTTCTCATGGATGAGTTTGAGAAACTCATACTCAAGCAGTGATCCATATATGTATATAACTTAAAGATCAGTAATGTAACTATTGATTTTTAAGTTAAAAATATGTGGGTTTATAGTGCCATTGCACATACATTGGACAATGTAGATGTATTTATTTTTATCCAATCCATATGTGTAAGATATTGATTAGAAAGAAAATTTGGTGGATGAAAATTTATAAATGCTTGTACTGTAAAGATGCTGAAGGATGGTTTTACTTTTCTAAACACCTGATTACCACTAATATGATTTGAAAGCCATTGCATACTAAACATCGTTTCTTTGGTTTTATGGTTTAACTTGGTAATTTACATGTCATTTTAATTAATTTCTTTTTCATGTCCAATTGACAATGAATTAATCTTTACTACTGCTGCATATCATTTCAAGGAAATGCACTTGGGATAACCAATATTTTTTCTTTTTATTATATTTTTATTATTTAAAACAATTTTTATATTTGAATGTACTTTAAGCAGATCTTCGCTTACCCCAAATCCTTACAGATCCTCTCCACATTCCTACCCACCCAACTTTAAGTTCTTTCTCAAATAAACAAAAACCCAATACAACACCACCCCAATCAAGAAAAAAATAAAACATCCAGAGAAAAAACCATAAAATACCAACTGTAACCAAATAAAACCACGCACAAAAAACAGTGGAGTCCATTTTATGTTGATCAACCACTCCTGAATATGAAGCTTCCTTGTGGTTAGTATGCCCAGCGTCACTCCACTGGAAAAAACGGACTTCCTCTCCCAACAGGTATAAATGACAGTTCAGTTGTTAACCTTTACCCTAGTGGTTAGTTTTCATTCATTCATTTATTCATTTTTTTTTAAAAACCTAACAAAATAAAATATAATAAAATAACACAAAAAATATCATATCAAATTGGTCAAGATAAAACAACAGAAGGAAAAGAGCCCAAGAGAAGGCACAAGAATCAGAGAGCCCTTGAGAACACACTCAGGGAATCACTTAAAACCACTAAACTGGAAGCCGTACTATAAGCACTGAGGACCTGGTACAGACCTCTGCAGGCCCTGTGGTCTTTTTTTCCTTCTGTTTTCAGAAAAGTATTATTCAGTTTTACCCTAGGTTCATGGGCACCTTGTCTCTGGTTCTTGGCCATCCAAGCAGTGTTGGGTGAGTGCCAGCTCCTGGAGTGGACCTTAAGTCCAGTCAGATATTGGCTGTGTGCCCCACAGGCTCCACACCACTGTCGCCCTGGCGTATCTTGCAGGCTGGACACCATTGTAGGTCAAAGGGTTCGTGGCTGGGTTGGCGTTTATGCTTCTCTCTTGGTGGCTTGCAGAATCCACTCCTGTACCAAAGCACTAGAATATAGGAGATTCTATGTAGGCACCAACTTGATATGTCCATAGTCAAGGCGTTGTGTAGATATTGGAATAACCAACATTTTTATGTAGGGAAAGAAAGGACAACAAAACTATGAGATTTGGTGAAGAAATCTGAACTAAACAAAGTTCTATAAATAGGAACACACACATACGATTTTTAAATCTTCAAGACAACTTCTGCATTCTTTCTATAGGACATTCTAAATCTAGTTTATTTTCTCGTTTGCTTCTTTCCTGCTTTTTCTTCCCCACTTCATGTCGTATCTCTGAAGACAGTGCTTGTACATTAAATGATTTTTTCTCAGCACTGAAATGCCTAAATTAAGGAGTGCTGTCAAGCATGGTTAGACCCAATGTTTGCATATGTTGAATAACACTTTTTTTTTTGCCTTATAAATGCTCTTTTGTTAAGGGGATGCATTTCCCTCTATGTTTTATTCTTCTGCATTGTAATTATAAACAAGAGAGTCTCAAACATTGTAGGACTGACTTGTAAAAGAATATCAACTTGCTGTTAAAATTGAATGGGTAGGTGTACAAGACAAAATTCAGACATTTTACCAAGGCATCTACAGGTAGCTTCTGTGCAGATGGGGATTTACCTGCATATATGTGTGCATCACATGCCTGATGTCTGAGGGGACCAGAAGAGGACACTGGATGTCCTGAAACGGAAGGCACAGATGGTTGGGAACTTTTCAAATGGAGAGCCTGGGGATGAGACTTCTAGTCTCACCAGGTGTCTAACAATAAATGACTTTAAGTGTGCACTTTGCAATGCTCTTGAATTCCCTACGAGTTGGTGGGACCTGGCCTCATACAAACCAGTTACTCCCACCAGCTTCGTGCTAAAGAGGAACACACTCTTTGGTTCTGGGTTCATGCTTGCCAGACTGAGAAAGTTCTGTTCTTTGTCAGGCTGCTTTCTGCAATGGAGAGCACAGCTTCCTTAGAGAACATGCCTGCTGCCTTCTCACTTTTTGAACATTATGACAGCTCGGCGCAGAGTGACCAGATGTTGAAACAAGTGGCTGGTGAGCATTTTTAATATGTTATTTACCTCGACAAAACCTGGCAGCTCTTGCTTGCCTGTTTTGTTACATTTCTATAACTGGGTGAATATGGGTGTGGGCTGTAAAGGTTTAAAGCAGAGGCATAGCCCATCTCTGTGATGCAGTACTTTCCTCTTTGAAGCTCTGTGATGCTGCTGGGGTCAGGAGAGATGAAGTGTATGGAACTGAAAAGTCCACTCTCCCTTTATTCTATTCTTTTAAAATTAGAATTTTGCTCCCTCTGTGTAAGAGAATTACTTATTTCACAACAGCAGCTTGACATACAGGTAAAAAGGAATAAAGTATTTTCACATGCCATGAACGAATTTTACCTTATAAGTAGTTTTTTTCCTCTTCAATTCAGTTCCTTTTTCCTCTTCTTTATTTACTCCCCCACCCCCTCCAACCAAACAGATTAGCTTAGAGAACTCACAGCTCAGCATCATGGCCTGCAGCCAGGAGCCTCCTACTCAGCTGTCAGAGCACCCTGCCAGCTTTTTAAATTATTTTTTTAATGTTCTATTTTAGCAAACAAGGTGATGCAACATTTAAACACTCAGAGCTGTCGTTTTCCTGGTTACTGGTTCTGCTTACTCTACAGGTGCTCATATGTCCTTATCAAGAGGTACCCTTGTCATTCAAGTTTACCTCTCATACAGCAAGTGTCTTTAAAATTTGCATTCATGTAAAAAAGGTTCTGCTTCAGTAACAAGCTAGAAGCTACCATGGCTTTAGAAAGATAGACTTCCCCAAAATACCCCCCCCCACACACACACCAAAACACTCAAACCTCAACACCTTTAATAAAGTAGACAAGTCAGTCATTTATCCTAATGAATTGTCTTCAGAATTGTCCCACATTCTGAACACCCTTATATGGGTGATTTCTTACGTCTTTCAGAGGCATTAAACTAGCGCAACAAACACAAACTACGAAAGCTTGAGAGCCATGGCTTTAGAGTGTAGCTCTGATTCTCTGTTGTAAGAACAACTGGCAGTCTTTGGGAAAAGGCTGAGTCGGGCGGGTGTCCGCCTTGCCAAGCAGCCTGCTCTCTGATCTCTACCAGGTATTAGGACTCAGCTCGGCCTGCACTGTCAGGAATCCCTGCTCTCTCTACATTCTCCATGCTCCTCCTGGGCTTATATTGCCATGCAGAGGCTGCCTCTAGCCAGGCACATTTATTTGATATAGGTACATTTACTTGATACACATTATTTTGCTTCATGCAACAACTCTAGGATATAATGTTAACAGTCATTTATTTTAAAACTGGGGAAACTGAGGCTAGTATAATGCAGATACCTGGGGCTGTAACATTTAGATGGCAACCTCTGTTCTGGTTTATGAACTTGAGCATTCTCCTAGTCTGCTCCTCATTTTTTTTATAACTGCATTTCTCTATCTCTTTATCTCTATCAAATCATTTCAATTTGCCTTTTTATTTCATTCTTCAAAACAATTTATTTTGTTTCTCATTTTGATCTTATTTTTGAAGTAACCTTTGTTTTCCTCTCCCCGGGTGTCAACTTATAAATTCGACCTACATTATTCCTATAAGCTATAGGAATAAGCTATTCCTATAACAATCTCTTGGGAGAGTGTTGTCTTGAGGAAGACACACACACAAAATTTAAAATTATGACATCTTTTCAACTATGAGATTAACCTTTTTGTGTGGTGTAGAAAATATGTTCAATGATTTTGTGTAATAATCAGATAATTGCAGAGGCAGCATTAATATTCAATGTACATGATGATAAGTTTTAAAACTCTCCAGTAAAACACTTAAAAATATTGTTGTCTTTAAAATTCAGAAGCACAGACTTACACTAGTATCTACAATTTACAGCCATTTCCATCTACCCCTGTCAGTTTGTACATTTACTTTAAAGAATTGTAGGGATAAAATGTTAGAAAGCGGAGGTGGTTTATAGCTTTAAAGATTCTGGTCTAATCTTTAATTCAATTTTCCTTCATCTTGAAATTCCCATAACAATATCTGAAAAGGATTCACTGCTTTTTATTGTTATAAACTATATCAGTATAGAACAGTGTAGCATTTCCTATCTTAAACAAGCATATATAAGGGGATTTTAAGAAGTAAGACCAAGTTATTGGCTAATTCATTACTAGAAGTTTATTTCTCTGAGTAGAAAACTACAGACTAGTAATCTTAGTTTGGGCCACTTTTTTCATTTCTATTTGTGTTGCTTGCACTCTTACTAGATGCCTGGGAAACCCGCTGGAGGGAATGGAGATGGGCTGTATGTTGGAAACAGGAAACTCTCTTGGCTTTCATTCCACAGATTTCTATATTGTTGGTATTTTAACAACATGTTAAATATGCTTAAAACAAAACAGGCAATCAATAAAATGGCATTAATCATAGTGAATTTTGCTTCTGTTCCAGTTCCACAGCCTCCCAGACTAGAACCCCAGGAACCAAATTCTGCCACCAGCACAACGATTTCAGTGTACTGGAGTGTGAACAAGGATGATGTTGTGGATGCATTCCAGGTGTACTGTACAGAGGAGCCTCAAGATGACCAAGAAATAAATGGTAAGACTGCTATGTAAGACCTGGAGTCTCACAGCTCACGATTGCGCCCTTCCCAGGAATACTCACAGACCACAACTCGATGCAAAAGCAAGAGGTTTATTCCAATAGCGATGAGGTCACCCCTCCAAAGACATGAGACGACCCCGAACATGCAAAGCACAGGGTTTTTATACCTGAAAATCAGACCACTTTTGCTCTCTACATTGATTGGTCGCAAGAATAGCATGAAGATAGTTTACAGCTGGTTGTAGATAGTTTACAGCTGGTTGCTTATGGTTTTTCTCAGAACAGTTCACCCCTTCAAGAGCTATCTGCACCTGGCTTCAATTCAAATAATCACAGTTGTTTTTCTCATTCCCGGGTGGTCCCTCAGCTATATATCTGGATGCATATGTTCCTGCATCTTAATGTAAAGTCCCTATATATACATATATATTATGTATACATATAGATACACACAAACATATTAAAATATCTACACTTTAACAAAGCATTTCTAGCTGCTTACGAAACAGGAATGATGCTTGTCGGTGGTGGGGCATGCCTTTAATCTCAGCACTTGGGAGACAGGAGCAAGCGGATCTCTGTGAGGTCAAGCCAGCCTTTTGTGAGGTCAAGGCCAGCCTCATCTGTAGAGCTAGTTCTAGGACAGCCAAGGCAACACTGACTCAAAAAACAAACAAACAAAAAAACAAAACAAAAAACCCAGGAATGATAGCAAAATCCCTAACAATGACATAATACAGTATTAGCAGAAAAGAACAGTTTAGAAATTGGTATCAGGAAAAAGCATATACATATCATCATAATGGTCAATGTGAATATTGAAATTGAAATTCAGATTAGACTTTGACCTCTCGAAATGACAGGAACAAGTATGTGATGCTCATTTTTCATGAAGGAAGTATTATTCCAAAGTTTCAGAGAGAACAGAGTTTAACAGATGTTGAAATCTGAAAGACAGCATGATGTGTCCTCATCTACAGAAGAGAAATGAGCTGTACACAGGCCAGTGTCCTCCACAGAAAGTTTAATGCACACACGACACCGGATGCCAGGTTTGCAGATTTGAAGAAGCCTGAAAGGTTAATTCACTGTTCACAGTTCTGAAGGTGTGGCTCTCAGCATGGCACAGTCATCCAGTGGCTCAGAATAATGGGAGATAGAAGCAAAATTGTTTGGCAGGATGAGCAAATGGCAGGCCTCACAAGCTTAGAGCTTCGATAAAACCTAAGAGCCAGGCAGCTTAAGGTTGTACTTGTGATGAATCAGTGTGGGGAGTGCTGGCATTCTGTGTTGCTTGTTGAAGACAGACCCACATGCTTGGGAAATTAGATGAGCCTGTGGCAGCATCAGCACCCCATTTAAAAACTCAGGAGCCCAGCTTACAACAAGGAAAGAAGTGTAGAATATTTCACTGTTACTAAGACTTAAATATAATCTTTTAAAGTTAATTACTTTTTCTTAAAGAAAGCAGCTCACATACCCTAGACAGTTCCGGAATTCACGTGTAGCTGAGGATGACGGCAGGACTACCTGGTAGTACTGTGGTGCATGTAGGTCTCCGGGAACACATGTCATGCGATTGTTAAAAGGAGTGTCTGAAGGACAGTGGTAGAAGCAGCGATTGTTGCTTTCTGGGCTATAGGGAAAATGTTCTCCAATGTGTTAGCATTTGCCATGTTCTTTAAACTATTGTTCTAAACTAGAGCTCATTGGAAAAGAGAGGCAACCAAAGAGTCCTATGTTTCTTTTGGGAAACAATCTGGGTTCTTAACTAGGGGATGGTAACATTCAGAGGCAATGCAGAAAAATAGCTAAAATGCTAATTCCAGGGAGAAGATTTTTTTTTTTAAGGAAGAGAGCATTTTACTAAAAAATAATCAGATTGGTCTAAGGTGGAAGGAGTAATTGGATGCATAGGTAGCTTGGACCTGTAACTCCAGCACTCCAGAAGTGGAGGAAGGAGAATGGTGCATCCCATGCCAGTCTGAGCTCCAAAGTGAGACCCTGTAGCAAAAATCTTCAAAGCCCACACAAGTAAAAAACCAAACGGGCAGGCATTCATAACAATATTGAACAATATTTACTATAAAAATATTTAAGGTAAAATCATTTAAGAAAATTTAAAAGGAAAAAATGTCTTGATTGAACCAATTTTAACTTCTTATAATAGCTCATTATCCTATCAAATTTAAATATTCCTCTATATAAGTAGAAATGTATAGTTTAAAAGATTCTGAAATGTGGAGTGTGGAGGGGTGTGGAGAAAGCTCTGGGCAAATATGTGAGTCCTAAGTGTGTGTTCTTGACAAACTCGTGGCCATGTTGGGAACACCAATGCTTCAGACTTATGGGAATGGCAAAGACTTCCCTATGTAAGGCTGAGACAGATGGCAAAGTGTTCTGCTGTTCCAAGTGTAAGTGTTTAGGAATTATTGATCAGCATTCATTGAAACTATTAACTTCAGCCTTCCCCTCAGAGATATTTACAGCCTGAAGCTGTTACCCTGCAAAGATCTACCAAGATTAGCTAACCCTGCCCCTTTGCTCAGCTGTATGCTATAAATCTGCCCCCTTACCTCAGATGTATAAAATAAATGTACTAAATGCCCAGTTGCTGCTACCGGTGGTGAATCTCCATTAGAGCACCTAGCCTATCCAATCCCAGCTTTTCCATACATGTGGCTGTATGTCAGTCATTTCTCTGTTCCTGTCACACCAGTTGGGTAAATCCCTAAAGCTATGTAGAGTGTGGCAGTGACGTTCCCAAAAACTTTCAGGGTCTGAAACCAGGACAGTCATACTGAGTAGCAAACTTGTTTACTAGTCTGTAAAGATGCTCTACAAAGTCTTAAGTAAAAGCAAATAGTTGTCCTTTCTGGTGATGGACTTCTGTGGAATGTTGGAATGTTGAAGCTATTCTTGAGACTATATTACCGAAATTTAGGGTTGTATAAACTCTATACAAGTTTGATATTTGCTTTTGAAATCAGTTACTTTGATTGTGGATTATGAATCTCAGAAATGTATTAACATACTATTATTTTGTGATAAGTGTTCACTAGTAATACTATGTCATTCTAAGAATCAGTTTTTAGAGTGCTTATATATCCTGAAGAGATAATTAGCACACAATAATATCTGTAAATTTATCAGTTTGAGTCCTGTAAAAATCATAGACTACTTTTTCTATTAACTAATTTTTAGTTTTCTTTATAAGATACCTTTGAATTAATAATTACATCTTATGCTAGAACTGATAGAAGAATACAGATTGACAGTGAAGGAAAGTTACTGCATTTTTGAAGACTTAGAACCTGATCGATGTTATCAAGTGTGGGTGATGGCTGTCAACTTCACTGGATGTAGCCTGCCCAGCGAAAGAGCAATTTTTAGAACAGGTAAGCAGATGCTAAGATGTTATTATGACGTGATACTCAGTTATTCACACACTCTTGAGATCAACCAAGAAGTATTTAGGAAGCACTAGCTATGCCTTGGGTGTTGGGCAAAATGCTGGGTACAAAGTAAGACTGAGCTAGGGTTTAGGGTGGAGCTCAGCGATTGAGCATGGAGTTAACAGTATGAAGCCCTAGGATCATTCCTCAAGTACAATAACAACAGCAGTAATATTGGGCTATTTGCAAAAACCAGATCATTTGCAGGCTCTCATTATGATAGCACTCAAGAGAGTACCAAGACAGACAGGGGAAGAGCAAGATCAGGAATGGTTTCCTAGTGCTGATAACTGCACAGAAAGCTTTAGATCAGCAGTTCTCAAACTGTGGGTGGCAACCTACCCTTTCACAGGGTCACATAGCATATATTTACCTTATAATTTATAATGGTATTGAAGTTAAGTTATGAAGTAGCAACAAAATTAATTTTATGTTTGAGGGGGCATAACAAAGCTATGTTAAATGGTCACAGCATTAGGAAGGTTGAGAACCACTGTGACATAATGCATTATTGGAGCAGATTCCTCTTGAAGAAAACATGAGCAGACATAAAGTATATATTGGGGTGTGGGGCAGTATAAGCTCTTCGTTATTCATAAAGCTTAAAAATACAGAAAGATGTCACTTTTAAAGGGGTTAGCATGTAGACCTTATAATTGCAAGGTAAGACTTCTACTTTATATAGAAGTGAGAGAACCCAGAATGCTTTAAACCATGGTGTTCAATTGGGAATATATTCTCATGGTAAAATCTTTTAAAAAGGGGCTGTCTTACTTTAAGATCACTGTGGGTGATCCCAGCACTTGGGAGGTTCAAGATACATAGCAAGTTTCATGGCAACCTGAGCCCTATCTCAATAACTTAAAACACAATAACAGACAATTCTTTTACTCAAATCTTTACTGACCACATATTAGGGACAAGATCATGTCTACCTTTTGGGTAAAAGGAGGAGGGAAAATTATATGTAGTAGCCATATAATGAAAACAGGGTGGGCATTATGGAAAGCAACTGTTAGGGATTGATAGGGAAGGGGAGCAGAACCTAACAGTATATAGGAGGGAGAAAGACCTTTAGCTATATGTGGGATTGTTTGTTTATCTGCTTATCTCTTTTGAGTTTTTTTATGGAAAAATTAAAAATAAACCATGCCTAAGTATTCTCCTGAGAATTGGCACTGCTCTGAACCTGACTTGCCTCTTTTTCTTCAGCACCCTCCACCCCTGTGATTCATGCAGAAGACTGTACTGTGTGTTGGAATACGGCCACTGTCAGATGGCAGTCTGCTAACCCTGAGGCCACAGAGACCTACACTCTGGAGTACTGCAGACAACACTCTCCTGAGGGCGAGGGCCTGAGGTAAGGTCCTCCATAGTTAGACTGCCAGGAGCCCAGGAAACATGCTCCAGGCCCCAGGCTATCTGAGTTTATGCTTATCCAGCAAGAAAAGCATCCTTGAATCCTGCTGAGCCAATGAAGCTGTTGACTTGATTTGCAGTGCCATCACTATTCATCAATGAGCTCTGCGTTTATAATAAAACACATGCTACAATGCAGAATATTAACTCCCTTGTAAGAAGAAATATATGTGAATTTTAATAAGGTAGAACATTCTTTGAGGTATATTTAACTTGAATCATTAGTCAGGATTTATGCACATTTTGTGCCATTTTTACTAGCTCTATCAGAATAGCTACCACCTAATTCAGGAAACTAATAGTGAGCTTATGTATAATGTAAATCAGAATGTCTCCACGATATATTAGCAACATAAAGGAGCTAATTGCACATATACTGTCACAGGGAAAGACCTGCCTCTCCAAGAACTTGACGAATATAGCGATTCTTCTAGTACAAAAGAAACATGAGGCTCTCTCACTAAAATGATGAAGCTAAAATTTATCAACAAAGGACCATACATCTTCAAGGTAGTTAGTAAAAATTAACCCCTCTATGAGGTGGTAGTCCTTAACCCCTAAAGTCCTGGCTATAGAAAGCACCTGTACATGCCATGATGAATATTTAGTAACTAATTACTAGTTACTAACTGATATTTACATTTTGATAAAAGATATTTTTGGGTTTTCATTTTAGCCACTGTGATAAGCTATTTTTGGCAGGAAGTTAGGGGTAATGGTATAAAATTAAACAACCTTTTAATAAAGTGTACTTAAGCTCTTGATTAGTACCATGATCAAGCAGCTATTTATTTAGTTATGATATAAGGTTTCATATGACTGAACAATAGTTATAGTTTCTTTCAGGTTGAAGACAGGCTAATAATGATCAGAGAGTATGTTGGGGTTGCGTGCGTGAGGAGGGTGGGATGCAGGCACGTCTGTAGAACTGAAAAGGTGGGAAACAGACAAGTGGCGGCCTATCTGCTTATGTTCGGACTGCTGGAAGGCGAACTTCAGGAATCACTACGTTATTATACATTCCATGTTTCATGTTGTTTGGTTAATTGCTATATAAAGCTACTAGTTTATGTCAGTCTAAGAGCTCAGACAAGCATGCTGTGATCTCAGTATGTTTACAGAATGGTCTGAGAGGGCATTGCTCTGGGAGCCAGAGTCTGATTTCAGTCCTGGCTTTCCCTTGATTCTGTTCCTTATTGATTGCTTACCTAGGATGGTTATCTTTGTGCAATTCTTACACACTTCTTCTATCTTTCATTTGCCAATCCCTGATAGAGACCAAAGCCAGGTCTGCTACCTTTTGGGCTTGGGAAGATGACATGAAATCAGAGACAGAAAAGAGGTTTGCCACTATAAAAGGCGCTCAAATGCAAAGCTTTTAGAAGGAAGCCTTCCTTTGGCACTTGTGCCAGCAAATTCCCAAAAAAGGTCCCCAGGAGTCAGCCAACATCTGGGAGGTGAATGCTGGCCAGCACAGAGAATAAGGGACTGTGGTGGCACGTCCCAGGTGCTTCAGGGATGTTGCTGCAGTTCATCCTCACAGGGACTCTAAGATTCCTCAGCTAGCAAGTGGAATCAGAATTCAACCCCAGACGGTCACATTTAGAGGTTCAGGTCCTTAGCCCCTGGGTAAAATTATTTAGGCAGTTTGGTACTCTCTGTGCAGACTTTGATGCTGTGAGAATGTTATTTCAGGAACCCTGAGGCCTAGGGTGGTCTATCCCACCGTCCGTGAGGAAGCCCAGTTCTCAGAAAAGATCAGCCTGTTCAGAGTGCTCTGAAATGATTCATTTCCTATGGCATTCATCCCCAGCTGACATTTACATAAATCTTTTCCACACAGTTGGATACTTCAATCAGCAAAACTCTGAAACCCCTGAGACTGAGTAGCCATCTTATCTAGGGATTGCATGGTCATCTCCTAAGTGTAGTTAGGAGAGAAGGAAAAGGGAAGAGGGGAAATGATGTCCACAGAGGGCCATTACAGCACCAGAAGTTGTATTTGCTCTTATTGAACTCTCTCGGTGATCCTGTGAGGAAGGTAATGATTTCCGTTAAATCAGAACCACAAAGCTTACATGCGTTAGCACTCTATTAAATTATGCACTGTGGGCTTGGGGTTAGAATTCAAACCGAGGTCTGTTTTATTCATTCCATTAGTTTTCAAACTCTTGTCATTACAGACAGAACTATCCCAGACATCTGCCTGGCAGCTTGGAGTTACTCTGTATCTTTAGTTTTCTCTGTCACAAGGAATACATATATGAAAAGATAATGTACCATCATTCAGATCTCCTTCGCTTGATCTTTTTCTTTTACCTGCTCATGAAGGGGCCCTCAAAACTTTAAAAGAGGAGCCTATTAGCTGTCAATAATGACTCCAGACAAATCCTCCTATCAAAGCCAAAGAGACAAGTGGCAGTTCCATTTTTAGTGAAGACAATGGCTATCCACCAATTTTGCCAAGGCCAGTGAGAATTTATTGAGGCATAAAGCTACTCAATGGTTTGTTCTATTTAAGACTTTTCCAATGTATTTTTATTCTGTTGAAAATAAATATCTGAGGGTCTGGATAAGCAGAAGTTTACAGTAGTGTTATAACTATATGGAGATCCTTTGTCACAGGGTGGATCTAGTCTAGCAAGTTTAAAACCCAGGGGCAGTTCCACACACTATGGAGCGTCTAGAGAGTACGTGGGTACTCAGAGGCCTTGGGTGGCAGGAAATGCAATGTATAGCCACAGCTAGACATTGATGTTCCAAGTCTGGGTTCCTGCTGAGTCTGAGAGCAGATAATCTTCTGAAGCAAGCAGAATTTTCTGGGCTATAGATTACTGCCATGTCCATCTGCCAAGTCTATTGCTGAGCTACCATATCAGTGCCATCTCTAATCAGTGTTTTATACCCCAGACTGCCTTCACCAGACTCTGAAATGACTCACTCTTATTCTCAGACACTCGAGATAGTCTCTGATCTAAGAGATTAAGAGGTAAGGGGAATTCTGCTCTGTGGACATGTGCCTCATGTGCCTCAGGTCTTCCGATGAAACATCACATCAGAGTCTGCTGTTTTGAAACTCTGTAAAATGTTATTTATCTATATTATATATGGCTAATTTTTATGATGCCAGCTATGGAGAACTAGTCAGATGGTGCAATCAATAGATAAAGAACCACAATTGTTTTTTTTATCAGCTCTACTTAATAATTCCCACTTTCCCCTATCATATCAGAACCTCATTTGGCTTCATGCACAGCAGCCACTGGTTAAAATGGTGTTGTCTGTTGGAAAGAGCTGTGTTGAGTGTTGTCTGGTCTCCATTTGTTGACTCCTTAAAGGGATGAACATGTGCGCTGTGGCCCCAGTGTCTCAGGCAGTCTCTGCATTGTAGCTGCTCAATGAATATATGTGTTTCTTGATGGATAAATATCAATTAGCATCAAATACATAATGCTTTCCATAAGGGCAGCTAGATCAGCTCTAAGGATAATCTCAAAATAGTAAACTGCCAGCAAAGTAGAGAAGAATGGTTAATAGTTCACTTTAGTGTTTGGCTACTCAACCGGGAAAGATGAGTCTACTTTGTTAGCAGAAAACTTTTCTGTAGATCACTAACACAGAGCAATCTGTAGAATCCCATATACCCACTGGTTACATAACCTACATATGTTCCAAGTCTGTAGAAAATTAATTTAGAGGTTCTTAAAGAAGAATAAAATAGACTAAAGATGGCATATTTCTCATGCGACTCTGTTTACCAGAGACTCCAAAGTGGGTGGGAATTGGAAGTTCATCTGTGTAGACATCACCAAAGGTCTTTCAATGAAGGAGAATGAATGAGATGAGTCAGTGTCATTTGGTCTTTACCCAGAGTGATAAAACTAGCTGAAATCTCCAGCAAAAGAGGAGCAAGAACTATATACATTTCCATTTTTCCACCCTAGATACTTGCAAAGAGTGGGGAGCCTTAAAAACTGGAGTGTTGTAGGAACAAGAGTTGAAATGAAGAAAGGGGAAGGAAGAATGAGTAATAGCAAATCATGCCCACAGCCATGCGCATACATGCACACACACACTTGTGCTCACGAGGGGAAGGCACTGAGTCATCGACTGTGCCCTAGGCTGAGCACTCTCATTTTAGTTGCCAGAATGAAGTCATCCATTCTATCTGAAGACCTGTGCTCCTTCTCCCAGTGTGAGATACTCTAACTTAAGACCAATGGTGTTGGTTGAATTCTTCAAGCGGGAGGAGAGGGAGGAAGGGTGTTGAATGGAATGAGTGAGCCTACTATGCTCTTATGGGTCCATGACACAGGAGTCTCTTCCATAATTCTCCTAAAAATGTGCTTCTTAATTTTTATTTATTATTTTTATTTTTAATGTGGGCACCAAACTTTGGTCCCATCAGTTAGACCCTGTTGGGACTGGAGGCGGGCAGGAATGACAATCACTAGCTTGTATGTGAGATGCAGGCTCTGCTATTCAGCTTCTTCATGTTTCTCTTTGATTGCTCTCCTCAGGTTGGGTGGGCTCAAAACACTTACAAAAATTTTCCACCACTCCGCTGTTTACTCAGCTGCTCTATCTCTCCTGTGCAGAGAGAAGTCAGCAGAAGTGTGGGTGGAGGAAGAAAACTGAGAGAAATACAGTACAGGGATTAGCTATGTGGGCTGTGCAGAAGTTGTGCATTGAATGTTAAACCTGTGAGACCCAATACTCCACAAATCATTTGGGAGTGAGCTTCCTGTCCCTGCTCCTCTGCCTTAGGCTGTGCTGTCCAGAGATCCTCTCTGGGCCATACATTAGAGGGTGGGTATCCTTAGGAAAGTCTGCCTAGGCCTGTGGGTTCACTCTACTACAACCAACTGGAGGGCCAGTTATGGAGCAGGAACAGAGTCGCCACTCATAGTCAGGTGCTCCAACTGGGCCTTCTACTGCTTT